GAATCTCCCAGTCAATGTACGGCGAGATGGAGCTGGCCATGGTCTTTGCGACACCTTGTCCTTTGGCGGAAGAGTCGCGTGCCTGTAGATGTCAGCATCGCTCTCGAGCTATTCATAGTACGTAATTACCTGAACCTCCAAATTCAATCTCTCATCCATCTCCCGCTTCCCAACAACAGGGGAGTCGACTGTGATCCAAATACCACTAGCACCTGCTTTCACAGCTCGTCGGACTGTCTCCTCCGACTTTTTTATGTCTTTGTTGACATACACCTGCTGGAAGAGCGGCTGATTGGGGTGAATTCCAGCCGCTCGCACAGCATCAATGGACATGCTAGAGCCATTTGCCAACACCTGCGCCAATCCTTCCTCGCCTGCTGCGACAGCCATTGCGCATTCTCCGTCCGGATGAGCAAATTTGGCAATCCCGCACGGGCTCATGTAGACTGGCAACGAGACAGACTGGCCCAGAATCGAGGTGGTCGTGTCTACGCTGCGAATGCTGCGGAGAATTCGAGGACGGAAGGACAGCTTTTGGTAAGCTTCTTGACCTTCGCGTTTGCTGATCTCATCGTCGGCTCCGGAGTAATAATATGCCCATGCGTGAGGGGGAAGATGTTGCTGAGCTACCTTCTCAAAGTCGTTTAGGTTTATTATGCTGCTTAGCGGAGGCGGAGGGTTTTCTTCTGTTGTCGCCGATGTCTTGGGAAGGGGCCTGGATGCCTTCGCAAGAGTGTCTGGTTGGACAATGCCTTTGAGTGCCGATGGAGGCAGAGCTTGCGAGAGCACGTCTTTATCGTGGACTGAATCGAAGTCTGCCGTACCATCTTTGCCTGCGCAGCGAAGAATCACCTGTGCACCTCCTGGATGCTCATCGAGAAATTCTGGCGGTGTGAGTAGTTGGCGATGATGGCCCCAATTGGACTTACCAGTGACATCGTAAACGGAACCATGAATAGCTACCCAACACGACTCGCGTGTCGAGTGCTTCTCAACCTCCTCTCGACTCAGTATCGACATTTCGCCTTCAATAGTGACTCAATGTCAAGAAGAAAAAACAGATGTCAAATGCGGAGAAAATGGTCTCGCCAAGTCGAACCCCAACCCCGGATTAGCCGGTCAAAATGCGGAGAAATATCCGCTGCGGGTGATGCCGATCCCCCACGCTAACCTTGACCCCAGTCTTGGCTTGGGGGTTGTATACATCGGTCCTGCGAGTATGGATCTCCTAATCTCATTTCTACTCCGCAAGAGCAGTCACCATGGCCACGGAACACCCAGAAGATGCTCACAAGCGGTCCCCTTCGCATGTCGAGGACATCCATCACCCCGGCAAAGTCAGCCATGGAGATACGGCACTCGCCCTCCTTGCAGATGGCGGTGAACTGGAATCAGCAGAGCCCGAAGAGTTGAAGAAATTAGTGCGCAAGATAGACTGGGCCATCCTACCGTTTCTCTCAGTCTGCTATGCGTTTTACTACGTGAGTGTGCAGATTCCTCGAATGGGATCTTCTGACACGGACAGATTGACAAAACTACACTGTCATATGCAGCAATCTTTGGAATCAAGGACGATCTGAAGTTAACGGGGGAGCAATACTCATGGCTGTCGTCTGTCTTCTACTTTGGCTTCCTTGTCTGGGCGCTGCCTACCAACTTTCTCCTCCAGCGCTTCCCTGTGGGGAAATATCTGGGCGTGAATATCTTCCTATGGGGGTTCTTTCTGATGCTACAGGGTGAGTACACTGCAAACTCAAATTGATCGTATGTCTAATAGTAGCAGCTGTGGCAAAGAACTTCACTCAGCTGGCTGTTCTGCGGGTGATATCCGGGGCCGCTGAAGCATGCAGGTAAGTGCTATACAAAGTATGCAAGAAATGGTAGCTAACGATACAGTGATCCTGCCTTCATGCTCATTACCAGCATGTGGTACACGCGACGCGAGCAGCCCATCCGCATCGGAATCTGGTACACGGCGAATGGAGCCGGAATTGCCCTAGGTGGTCTGCTAGGGTATGGAATCGGGCAGATCAACGGTGCTCTCGCATCTTGGAAGTACGAATTTCTGATCATCGGCGCCCTCTGTGCACTCTGGGGTATCCTCATCACAATCTTCCTTCCCGACTCCCCCGTCAATGCCCGTACTTTCTCCACTCGAGAAAGACGACTAACCATCGAGCGACTCCGCGACAACCAAACTGGTGTTGAAAACAAAACTCTCAAGCCAACACAAGTCCTCGAAGCCCTACTCGACTGGAAAGTCTGGGTATTCTTGCTTCTCGGACTGTCAGGCAATATTCCAAACGGAGGTATCTCGAACTTTGGCACTCTGATCATTCAAGGATTTGGTTTTTCGACCCGTATGTTTCCTCTACCTTTCTGGCGATATATATATTCATCCCACCACTCACTGAAAACACCAATTATTTAGTGGTAACAACCCTAATGCAAATCCCCTACGGCGCCTTCACCTCTCTGATGATCATCATCGCCGTCTTCATCAACGACCGCCTCCCTCCCAACAACCGCTGCCTAACCGCCATCTTCTTCCTCCTCCCCAACCTCGCCGGGTCGTTCGGCCTCGCCTTCCTCCCCGCCACTAACCAAGTCGGCCGTCTAATCTGCTACTATCTCACAGGCTCATACAACGCCTCCTTCGTGCTCATTCTGTCCATTCTAACGGGTAATATCGCAGGTCATACGAAGAAGGTCGTTACCAATGCGATGATCTTCCTCGGCGTGTGTGCGGGTAACATTGCAGGACCGTTCTTCTATCGCTCTGAGCAGGCGCCGCGGTATACCTTGGGTATTTGGTCCATGGTTGTGGCGAATTTTATTGAGATTGCGCTGATTGTGGTGCTGAGGGTTGTGTTGGCGTGGGAGAATCGGAGGAGGGATAAGATGAGGATGAGGGAGGATGGGGACGGAGCTGGGGTTAGCGCTGGGGATGAGGATGATGTGGTGGCGTTTGGGGATTTGACTGATAAGGAGAATTTGAATTTCCGGTATGTTTATTAGGTGGGAGAAATATCTGCGGGATTTTGGTATGTTAGTATGGATAGATACGGGTCTGGTTAAGGGCTTATGGAATTCATGATGAGTGAAGAGGAGGGATATGTTTAAACATGTTATTGACAACTGCACTTGACATGTCTAGTAATATCTACACATACCTGATGGAACTTTGTTCCTACTAGTTATATTTCTCGTAAAAGACCATCTTCCATCATGAGTACGACACCTACGAAACTCGCCGTCTAGAAGATCCCCCAACGTTCAGTAGTTCAAACCTCCTCGCAGCGCGAAAACGAATAAACCGTGACTGCATATAAGCCAGTACCTCATAGTCACGTCTGTATGACCCAGCCGCAATCCACGTAAACAGGTACCAACGCCATCGAGCAAACCAGCCCCAAGCCTGAGGTATGATAAAATTATACATGGACGCATACTCAAAGTATATAGGATAGAAACCCGCAAGATCCCAATCAAGCAGCCAAAGCTCCCCAGAGGGCGAGAGAAGAAGATTCCGCGGCACCAGATCATGATGTGTCAAGACGTATGGACCCATAGCAGAAGGGATGGATGCAGTCCCAGTGAGAACTTCACCTCGTTTTCCGGTTTCTATTGCCGTTCTCATGCCTCTGAAGTTACCCCAGAAGTGGAGATAGCGAGAGAGCTCGGGTGGTCCGGAGCGGGGCGGGAGGCCGTAAAGATCATCTAGCCAGAAGGATGTGCATTGGCCGGTTGCGAGGGATCCGATGGTGGGCGAAGTGAGTGACCTGAGGGTGTTTATGATGCGACGGAGTTGGAGAGCTAACTTTATCGTTAGGAACCATCCTAAACTTGTCCAGATATCCTCTAGTGTTGACCCCTCAATTCGGTCCATGATGCTGTATACGTTCCGGTTGCTAGTGACTATCCTTCGTATTGAAGGGCAGGGTATCCCTAGGCTATGAGCTAGCTCGGTGGCTCTTATTGAATCTTCGGCTTCGGATGGGTTGAAATAGGACTTGGAGATATATATTGGAGAGAGGGACGATACTCGGCTCATTAGAGAGGAGTCTGCAGGGGGTGATGAAACAATGTGCTGGATGAGTTCTGCATCGGAGTAGCTTTGAAGTAAGTCATCGCGGAATTTTGTATCCATGTTTCCAAGTGTAACTAAAGCACAAACAAGTAAGAGAGATGAATCCAGGGAGTATAGCGATAAGGCTAAGCCTAAACCCGGTCCAGGAACGCGGAGTCTAGAATAGGCTTAGTGTGAATGGTGGAGACAGTCCGGCCTCAGGCCTGACTGCGGAAGTCGAAGCTAATTCGGAGCTAGACCCATATCTGATCGCGTCTGTTGTTCCTCATTTCAAGACCAACGCCGTCTTTAAAATGGTTTAAGTTGTACTTTAGAATACCAATTGTCAATCATCTCTTTTCGCGGGCACAAGCATGGCTAAGCGCCGCGGGGGACAAAGTCGGCCTGCCGTGTATGAGCAATTCCCCCAATGCAGTGGATTTGTGCTGACACCAAGTCCAGAGCCTGCACTTTGTGCCGACAGCGCAAAGTAAGATGTGATCGCAGAACGCCTTGCAAAAATTGTCTGCGGGTTGGGAACGAGGATTGCGTCTACCGTGCTACCAACCAGGTCCAGACGGAATCGAGCAATCCCCCCGTACCCAGACAGATCGATAGCACGTCCAGCACAGGCATATCCACCGCTTCTAACTATTCAAGCTCCCTTGAAAGTCTGGCAAATGTTCCCGCCGCTCACAGCCACCCCTCTGCTCTTGAAATAGAGCTAATGGGAATGAAGATAAAAGTACAACAACTTGAAAACCAGCTAGCCAGGCAAGCAGCGGGACATAGCCAAGCCTCCGAAATAAGTCACAATCTGAACTCAAGTACTGAGACAATTAGCTGCAGGTTAAGTGGTGTCTTTCATGTCCATACCGAGAATAGTGCGTCTAGCAGTTCGCAAGGTATTGCCCGCAGCATTGCGTACAAGATGCGTTCTTCGGCCAAAGTCATTGGGCGGCCAACAGCATCTCCCTAGTGAGTAAATGCATGCTTTGGGCATTTAGCGAGGTGCTAACTGAGATCAGATCACGGACCTACTCGTACATGGGAAGACTACTACCCCCCATCCATGGGCCAAATTAGAAGAGTGTGAATCTTTGGCCAGAGCTATCAACGCACGACGGACACCTACATGGCCCTCGCCTCTCACCGGCGATGTGCCGCGGAAGGAAATAACTGATACTCTCATTGCGTACTACTTAAGTTCGACAGACGCTATCTACCGTATTTTACATATACCGACATTTTACCGGGACTATGAAGCACTGTGGGTGATGGGCGCTACACCAAATGCGTCCTTCTTGGTGCTGTTCAAGCTCGTTATGGCAATTGGTGCGATAGTAAATGATCGACGATTCACCCTGAGGGTCTCAGCCATCCGATGGGTATATGAGGCACAGTCTTGGGTGGCGCAGCCAAAGTTCAAGTCCCGACTAGATCTTCAGTCTCTACAGATCGATATTCTCCTTTTGATCGCCCAGGAACGATTGAGCATTGGAGAGCCAATGTGCATATCTGTTGGAGCACTGGTCAGGAAAGCTATATGCATGGGTCTGCATAAGGATCCCACTCACACACCCCTAGCGCGGACAGTGCTTGTTGCAGAGATGCGTCGAAGGCTATGGAACACCATTCTAGAGTTGTCCCTACTATCCAGTCTCACCTCTGGAGGGCCACCTCTAATTTCATTAGATGATTTTGATACTGCACCACCAGGGAATTTCAATGATAATCAACTAACTGCCGGTAATCCGATACCGAAGCCAGAAGATCACTACACAGGGTCATCCATTGCGATCTGGTTCCGAAGGACCTTTCCCATCCGACTGGCTGTGGTGAAACATATAAACGGTCTTGCTTTGTCACAGACCACATACAGGGAGACTCTGCTACTTGACGCCGAGTTACGCACTGCATTCAGGGAAATCGACGAAGCTGTACAAGCTTGCAGGGGTCCGGACAGGCCGGTTGTACCTTCCCCGCCTAAATTTCGAGCCATGGACTTTCTGGTACATCAAATAACGCTATCGCTACACGCCCCGTACTTCGGGCCTTCCCTAAAAGAGGCCGCCTATGCATTCTCTCGACAAGCAGTAGTGGACTCATCTCTCAAACTATTTCGCACCGCATATCCCAAAATCACGCTTTCGGTTGACCATGATGGTGATATTTCTCGACTCTGCCACTCTAGTGCGGGCTTTTATCCAAATGCAACCTTCGAGGCTGCATTCATGATCGCCGTGGAGCTCCGAGCCCAGTTACATGGGGATACCTTGGGACCGGTTTCAATGCGATCAGATTTACTGTCTGTATTAGATGACGAAGCCCCCGCTTGGGCTTGCATGCGTAGCTTAGCTGGCGAAACCAATGTCAAGGGATACCTGCTCTTGAGGTTCTTGTCGGTCCAAATCGCGGCCCCGCTGCTTAGTCGGAACGAAGAGATACTTGCAAATGCGCAGGAACAGATAACAAAGGAAGCAGAGGAGACATGCGTGGATGTTTTGCAGCGTATGCTGTACAGACTAGATCAGAAGCGCGAACCCGAGCTGGTGTACTTCGGTACACTTGTGGAAGGTGGGGAGGAGGAGTTTGAGGTAAGCCTTTTTTTACCCCCCGGAAGCGCTGTTTAATGAGTATTAACTCCTGTATAGAGGTATGATGATACATCTGAGCTGGGTGAGCCTGAGTCCATGCATGTGAAGTTCAACGATGTCAGCCCTGGATTATGGTAAGTCCTTCACACCAAGCAGCAATCGCCTAGCAAGATACACTTTACAGCTCATAGCGTGATACATACACGCCATCATGGCACCGAAATAGACCGAGAACGGCATTGCTATCGTCTCACATACACCAATACCTCATGGCAAATATCATACATTACTGCTTTCCCAAGCTCTCACCCAACTCCGCAGCTCTATCCGTAGCCGCCTTAACCGCCTGATCCACAATATCCGCAAAGTTCAGCTTCTCAAAAGTCTGCAACGCGGCATACGTCGTGCCATTCGGGCTAGTAACGTTCTTCCTCAGCTGAGCAGGCTCATCATCCGACTCAACGAGCATCTTTCCAGCACCCAGACAAGTCTGCGCGGCCAGCCTCGTAGCCTGCTCCTTAGTCAAACCCAGAGCCGTCGCACTAGCAACCAGATGCTCAACCATAGCGAAGAAATACGCGGGACCGGATCCTATCACACACACACCAACAATTAGCCTCATCCCGCCCCACTCCCAAAATCAAACCCCAGAGAGAATAAGAAGAAGAAGAAACACATACCAGACAACCCCGTAACCACATCCAACAACTCCTCCGTATCCACCCACTCCGTAACCCGACTAACACTCGCCAACAGCGCCTCCACCAACCCCTTATCCTCCTTCCCAACCTCCACGCCAGCAAACGCACCACTCGCCCCCTCCGTCACCAACGCCGGCGTATTCGGCATAACCCTCACCACCGGGGCCACCTTCCCACCCTCAACACTCAACCACTTCTGCAAACTCTCCAACGTAATCCCCGCCGCAATGCTCACCACAATCGGGAACTTCGCCCTCGCCGTAGCCGTCCATTCCTGACGGAGTTCCTCGCACACCGTCTTCGCGACTTGCGGCTTCACGGCCAAAATGACGACATCAGCGGACGACGCGGCCTCGGTGTTGGATGTCGTGACGTTCACCCCCAGCGCGGCGATCTTGTTCCGGTTCACTTCCCATGGCTCGGAGACGTGGATGTTGCTCGCGGGGACGGATTGGCGTAGTAGGCCGGAGATTATGGCCGAGGCCATGTTGCCGCCGCCGAGGAAGGCGAGGGTGCTGGTTTGGAGGGTGGGCATTTTGATTATTTTCTTTTTGCCTCTGGGGAATGAGGTTAAGGTGTATGTGAAGGGTGGGTTTGTGTGGTGGATGGGTTAATTGAGGGGTGATGGAGCTGGTGGTGATGGTGATGGGAGGGGTAGCTCGGTGGGTGAGTGACACGTGATGTGATTGCCCCACTAGCTAGCTAGCTTATCGCGGGGTTGATATGATATGATTAGTCATGATGATCTATAACTAGATTTGATTATATTCAATTATTTGTTTGACACCTATACAATGGGTTTTTAGAGATTGAGCATCCGGTAACCTATCAAGGTCTCATTTCCTTGATCTTCCATTTGTGATGTTCTTTCACGGTCACCGGAACCCGACAGAGTCCTCAAAAACCTGCATGAGCGCAAACCCCGCACTTAAGAATTGAGACCTTGTAAAAATGTAATTACTACATCGAGCCGCCAAGAAGACCAGACAGAATTTAAGGACATATTATTGTCACCCAACGTGTCTGTAAGAATAACAGGATAGCCGTATCCTGATCACGATGGGATCTTGAGCCTCGGTCGTCTCGATCTGCAGCGCGCTAGTAGTTACTAGAGTTGTACAGATACCGGCGGATTTAAGGCACCATCGGGTTTTTGGATGGCCAGTTTTCACGGATAGTATGAAATGTTAGAGGCTTGTATAATGGCGAGGGAATGAACAAGTTATCCTGGTATGAGAATTGAGATATTGAGAAGACGAAAGATACTGTATGTCTACCAAACGAAGCAATTCGAAGTGCGGGAATGGGACTTTTTTTTTTCGGTGCGATCCGACGCCCATAAATATAGTGACTCACTGATTTAGTTACTATCATCGAACCTACATGAGACCTGTCTGCCTCATACAAGTGCTCTAGTCTAACCCTATTGCTGGCTGTGTCCAGCATGGCAATTTGCACCTTACACATGTACATGTTCCGATTCTGTAGCCACCGGTCCAACCACCGGCTCAGGTTTCTCTTCATTCCCTTGTCTCACCTCAGCATCTTTTCCGTCAAAAACACCGGCTATATGCTCGAGGCTGTATCCGCGAGTCTCTGGGTAAAAGAAATACGCCGAGAACCAGTACCCGGCCAACACAGCCACGAACACGAAATAGTATTTCCAGTGGATGGCCGCAAGGGCGATTGGGTTGACAAACGTGTTGAACACCGTACATCCAATGGCAGACAGCCATACCATACTGAGCCCTTGTGAGCGGAGACTGAAGGGCCAGATTTCACATGGGTATGCAGTGAGCATTGGTGTTCTATCAGTAAGCATCAGTTCAGTCATACATCAATAGGAAATGATCGCAATAATTGAACAGTGCTCTAGCATGCGATCACCTACAGCGCAATATCATATCCCAAGAAATATACAAAGAGGAATGGGATGACTGCAATACCAACTGAACCCTTGCCAGTGCTGGCAAAGGCGCCTGACAAGGCAGTGATGAGGATGAAGGATACCAGCATGGTGCTGGCCGAGGTTATGAACAAAACCCGCCGACCGACCTTTTCGACCAGCGAGGCGCCAAGCACTGCGAAAAGAACGTTCCAGACTTGCAGGCAGGCCGAGATCAATAGCTGGTCGCGCGCGTGTGTAATCCCGACAGACCTTAAGATCATGGAAAGGTAGTAGGAGACTACCCCGTTGCCCGACAATTGTGCAAATGCTCCGAGCGTAATGGTGATGAAGAGCCGATGGCGGTCTCCCGGAGACTTGACTACGCTCATGTACCCAGATGAAGCAGCCGCGTTATGCTCCGCTCGAATTATCTCTTCGATATTCTGGACTTCGTACACGATAAGAGGTGCAGTAGCATCACCACCGGTGTGCAGCTCAGCTAAGACTGTACGGGCTTTGTCGATACGTCCCCTAGATATCAACCATCGAGGACTCTCTGGGATGAACGCAAAACCAGGAACGGCAATGAGAGGAAGGAGCATCTGTAGAAGAACCGGCAATCTCCATGCCCAGGGACCGTCATACGCTTGTGTTGCAAAGGTGGCCCAGGCTGCAACAGCGGCTCCAACGTAATAGCCGAACATGTAGAGTGCACCGAAGACACCACGATGTGCAGGGTAGGCAATCTCACTGAGTAGGATAGGGGCCGTGTTGCTTACCCATCCCATACCACAACCAATCACGGCACGAGACGCAGTAAAGACGTTGGCGGACGGTGCAGCCGTACCCATTACGGTTCCAGCTAATAGAAGAATAAGCCCTATCCAGACGCCTACTCGCCGCCCGTATCGATTACACGCCCAGGCAGCAACTGGGGTGCATATCAAAGCCCCTATCCAGTAGACAGCACTTATAAAGCCAAGCCAAGTGCTGGATGGCTTTTCCATGAAGTTGACCCATTCTGGCATAGCCTGCAGGCCATTGACCAAAGAGCCATCGTACCCGCCCGGGGACGCTATGGGTGCTCAGTCAGAAGACCATCGAGGCAAATTTATGGAAAGTAGCGGCGTACAGAAAAGGGATAGAACGCCCATGAAGAGACTGACCCTGCGAAGGTGAGGACTGCGCCACCAACTGACAACAGGCAAAACCGAGTCCAGTTGTTGATCGCTAGATTCTGCCGCCACAGGGGTGCTCATGTTAATACGACGGCAAAGCTTCGATCCAGAAGGTGCTATCGAAAACCACTGATAAGATGCTCACTGGATCTTATAGTTACGTCGATGTCCAACGGAGCAAGAAGTCAGGAGAAAAGAGCCGGCAGGATATTTCAGTATGACTTTATGGCGCTGAACAACATGGTGTCATGGTGAACCATGCCCGAAAATGCCCGACTAAACACCTGGACTGGGAAGGCGCGACTGATTGCAGGATTGTATCATGGAACCCTTGATGGCTGTTGATGGTACCCCAGACGTGGAATAGGCTCTTTCTGGGGTCTACATCGAGGGAAAACATTCCCGCTTCACCTCTGGTGACCGCATACCTGCACAGGTTAGTTCTTTCCACGGCCAGACGTGTAAGTTAGCCCGGCAAGGGGGTGTATGCGATCTGTAATCACGGAATCAATCGCCATTTGCTTTGGATTTAAATTATGCTTTAAACGGTCGGCCATTCGGTTGAATAATGATGTCCCCATCACTTCTGCTGCCGTTTCATCAATGCATGTACCATTAAGGCAACCCACTCCGGATGTATTGCCAAATCTCTTACCCCAGCTGGGTGTAACTTCTGTTGGGTGCCGAGTGTCAATAAACAGTCCAACACCATCACACTCTGTATCTCCGATGCTGTATGGGGCTGTCTTACTATCATACGGAGCACTACCATCCCCCTTTCCCTTTGAAAGATCCCACAAGCGCTGTGAGGCTCTGTGTGTCTCATGCTGAAATCTTGGTTGAAGCTGGAAGAGAAGCGGTGAACGATCCGCTTTACATGGTTTCCGCTGGTCTGAACCATTCCGCAAACCGGGGAACATACATCCACCACCACCGCCGGACGTTCTGGGCCTTCGACATCCATGGTAACTGTCGAAGCACTAACTGCTAGACCAAAAACGATATATCGCGTGGTTCTAGCCAGGCGACGGAGAGATATGTGTCCCAACAGTAACCAAGGTAACTCGTAGGCTGGGGCACCCTTGCAGAAACGTTTAGAAGAGACCGCAACGACATGTCTTGCATTCGATAGTCGCGCGCATATCCTTAGATGTAGTGCGTTGGGGAAATGTACCACAAGGTAGGAAAAGAGATATGAAATGGCATATTAGTGATTTGCGGTGGTGAAGTGGACTCTGCCTGGACCGTGTCGCTCAGCGGAAGGGGGTTAGAACAGGCCAGCCCATTCCCCAGCTGATCTCGTCTGGATTGAAACAGGATCCAAAAAGTGGAATCCTCTCATTACGTCTCACATTCGTCCGATCCTGACAAACTAGTCTCCGACTGAGATTAAGAACAATGCTTGCGTGCTGGTTTGTAATGACTAGTGAGTGATAAAAGTCCGACCCTGATGATCACTCCTAACAGCCTGTTAGCTGCAACCTCAATATGATTTTGTGTCTGGTTTCTACCTGAGATGCCTATTCACAATGGTATAGTATTCAAATACCTAGTAAGTTACGCTTTAACCACAGATCACTTCATTAGCCAACCTAAGCCGACCCTCTGCTCCAACTCCATCC